GAGCAGCCTTTGCCCCATCTTGTGCCCAAGGGGCAGGCCAGAGGAAAGAGCGCTTTCTGGATGGCCCCCTCATCCCCTCAACGATGGAGTGCACACCCCAGAACCCCACCCTCACCTGGGGGGGATACCCTAGGTCAAGGCTCCTGGGGACTCACCTTTGGGGTGGCCCCGCTCAGCACGGAGCCTGTTCCCCATCTCAATGAGCTGTTCCTTCTCCAGGCGGAGGCTGAGGATTTTTCTGGTTGCTTCCTTCAGTTTCCTCTGCAGTCGGTGCACAGATAAGGCCTGTGGGGGCTGTGCCCCTGGCCGGAGGTGCATGGAGAACTCCCCCTGGTCCTCGGTCTGAGCGGGTCCTCCGTCTGCAAGGCCCTGTAAACCCACGGGGCACACAGCCCCGTCAGACAACGCACCAACCAGCCCTCTCTTGGGAAACAGGGTGAACGGGATGGGGGCGCGGTGGTGGTGGCCGCCCTGCCCAGGGGGCCACCCGAGCCCCCTCCCGGAATCGGTATGGCAGTCTGCACCATGGGGAGTGACGTCCTTCCACAAGGAAGACAAAGGGCTCGCTGTTCCTGGTGCTGTAACTGTAGGAAGGATGAACGACGAGGCTGTCCCTTCTTTTCCACAAATGGGACAAAGGCCACGAATCCCCTGGCCAAGGCCTGGCCTTGGTTCCCCTCTGCCCAGTTCCTCAGCCCTTTCCTGCTGGGCCTGGGCCCCTGGAGGGGGTGCAGACCCCAATCCGTCCTCGCCTGTGAGACCAGAGGCCCCTGAGCACGCCCCCCCCCCCCCCCCCAGGTTCCTGCGTGAAGACAACAGAGACCTGACTGACGCCATTAGCACAGCAGCTCCCCGCTCCCGGCCTGGGCTGCGCCTGGTTCCCTGCCTCACATCAACTTCCAGCAGTGCCCCCAGGGCCAGGAGGGCTGCACCACGCTGGGCGCCTGGCTGCGTGGGGGCCTGTGCTGGAGCCTAGCCCAGTCCTCCCGCCACAGTGTGGTCACTCACTGTGCACTAGCCCCCGGGCCTGTGCTGGCTGTGGCCCCTCTTCGAGAGTCCTCCCTGCCTCACACCCTGCCTGGGCCCCACCTGCCCCTCTGGCTCACTCCTTCCACCTGCCTGTTGGCTGTGGTCTCCCAACGTCCTGAAGGCCACAAAATAAGAAAGCAAAGGGGGCTGAAAGCGGGAAGCTCATGTGGGGGTCTGCAGAGCTTCCCTGCTCCCTGCCCTTCTGCATCCCGGGCCTGGGCCACACCTTGGATCTGAGCCCCAGGAGGCACTGTGCTGTCCTTGCTCAGCACAGCCATGGTCTACACCACCACTCCCAGGAGTACAGTCACAACAGAAGGGAACATGAGAAACCAGTGACACCCAGGCCTTGGCACACGGGAACAGACACCCTGCTCTGCCCAACTGTTCCCAGCACCTGGGAGAGGCCATGCTGTACCCCGTCCTGGCTGCACAGCTCCCGAGTCCCTGGAACAGGCCAGCACACCCTGTCCCGCAGGCTTCCTGGTGTGCCTTTCCAGGCTGGCAGGTGCCCGTGCCCTCCGGGTGTTACTGTTCTTCAGTGGGAGCCACGCTGCCAACAGCCTTCCGGTGCCCCTGGGCTTGTGTCACAGGTTAGTGTAGGACCAAGGGGGGGTCATGGAGATGACACAGCAAAAGGATGTCTGCCCGTGTCTTGGAGGGCTGGTTGCAGGGCAGCCCCAGGGAGGCCTCGCTGCAGGCCTGAGCACCCCAAATCCCCACTCACTTCCCCAGCATGCAGACCGCTGCCTGCTCTGGGAGCAGCCCCTTCCTATCCCCGGCCGTGCGGAGCAGTGGCTTGCTCACAGTCTCACCAGGACAAGGCCACAAGCCCCACCTGGCCTGGGAGAAGCCGGGCTGACCTGGAGGAAGGGAGGTCGGCGGCTCTGCACACCCTCAAGGGGCTGACTGGGAACTCTGGGGTGAGGGACAGTGACGCCCCAGAAGGCCTGGGCAGCTAGCTGGGATACCAAGCCCGGCTCCTTAAAGGCCCAGGTCCTCTACAGGAGCATACTGTGTCTCTTGTGTTATTTTAAGTGAGAAAAAAAAAAAGAAAAAGAAAAAGAAAAAAAAAAATACCGAAAACAGAGACTTTGCAGACTTCCGAACACTCAGAGATTAGGAGAAAATTTCTTCTTCAAAAGCAGACCTCTTGGGCCGGCCCGGTGGCGCACTCAGTAGAACGCGGCGCTTGGGAGTGCGGCGGAGCTCCCGCCGAGGGTTCGGATCCCATATAGAGACTGGTCTGCTCACTGGTTGAGCACGGTGCGGGCACGACACCGAGGGTTGCGATCCCTTTGCCGGTCGTGGTGTGGGCGCGACACTGAGGGTTGCGATCCCGTTACCAGTCACGAAAAAAGACAAAAAGGAAAAAAAAAAAAAAAAAAGCAGACCTCTTCCCCCAAAGATGGCCCCTGTCATGACCAAGGAGCCTGCCGCTGTCCCGAGTCTTCATGCTGGTGCCAGGTTGCAGGGCTCCGTCAGGACCTTCATGTCATTGATCTTATTGTACAGGAACGAGAGTACGGCCTCCGGGGGCTCATGTCCTAGTCACCGTGACTGTGCACCCAGTGATGCGGGGGATGTGGACTGAGGATTCCACCACTCTTGGGTTCGGTTTCTAGTTGAGTTTTATTTCGTAAAACTATTTGAGTTTTATTTTGATGACTCCGAAGTCTTACCCCCAAACAAAGATGTTACAACCTGAGACATATTCAGGAGTGTCTTCTTAACTACTGCGTGCTTCAGGGTCCACCTGGCACCCCCAGGAGGAGCGGCGGCCCCGATGGCCCCCCTCACCTGCGCTGCTGATCCCAGCACCTTGGTGAGGGAGGAAAAATGTCTCAGTGTATCTGGGCATTTGTAAGGAAACAAGAAGGGAAGTCTGGTTTGCTGGAATGTCTTAATGACATTCACAAGTGACCGACCTCAGAGAAGTCGTCCGGGAGGCGGAGGCCTGAGCCACGGCGGGTGCTGCACCACTTGGCTCCCACGTGGTGGCTCCAAAGCTTCCAGGCAGAGCCAATGGAGATGTGACAATGGCTAACACCGCCCCCCAGTGGATCTGGGACGAGCTCCCCACGGCTAGGCGCAGGGCAGGAAGGCTGGGGGAGGAAGCGAATTTGGAGTTTGGGGGACCAGGTGCAGCTGGCATGGGTGGTGTGGCCAGGGGAGCAGACAAGGCTGGCCGGGCCCCAGGTGTGGCTGCACAGGCCAGCTCAGGCCAGGCCTGCCTGGAGTGCAGGGCACCCCATCTATCGTCCACCACTCTCTCCCTCTGCGGAGGCGCCTGTGTGGGGACTATCTAGGGGGTCACAGAGCACGAGAAGTGTGGGAATGCAATGCCACCCACGCCTGGTCCCCAGAAGCCACAGTGGCAAAGACTCCTTGCTCCTTGGCTGGGGCAGGAGATGGGGGGCTACTTCTGACAGAGAAGTTATGAGAACAGGCCGAGGGGCTGCCATGCCCCCTTCCCCAGACCCCCATGTGGACAGGCGGCTGAGGCTCTGCCATCAGCCACCCATGCCATGTCCTCGCTTCCCTGAACTGCTTGAGTAAGCTGGAGACACTGCACCACGTCACATCTGAATACCTGTTTGTTCTTCCTGAAAACAAGGGGCCTGGATGCACACACAACTTAATCCACAGTCCACACGCAAATGTCCCCAACTGCCAGCGTCCAGGATCCCACGTGGCGGCTGTGCCAGGTCTCCGGTCTCCTGGCCGGGACACTCCCTTGCCTCTGTTTGTGTTTTGGGGACACTGACGTGCTGGAGTCCGGGCCAGCTCATCTGCAGCACATCCCTCTGCTGGGGTGTCAGCTGCCTCGTGCTCGGCGTCAGGCTCTGCGCTTCTGGCGGGGACCCAGGAGTGTGTGCTCAGTGTGTCCCGCCCGGGGGTGCCTGGTGTGGTCTATACCAGCACTGGTGATGTGTCCAACAGGCTACCCCACTGAAACGGGGCTATTTTCCCTTGAAAATTACAAAGTAAATTGGGGGATATCCAGTATTGAATGGAGACCATACGAACATGCTGTCTTCTGTCAACCTGTGCCTCTAAGCCCAGCGTGCTGTCCCGCCCGGGGGTGCCTGGTGTGGTCTATACCAGCACTGGTGATGTGTCCAACAGGCTACTCCACTGAAACGGGGCTATTTTCCCTTGAAAATTACGAAGTAAATTGGGGGATATCCAGTATTGAATGGAGACCATACGAACATGCTGTCTTCTGTCAACCTGTGCCTCTAAGCCCAGCGTGCTTCCACGAGCGTCTGTGGCCACGGCTCCTTTCACGTCTCCCTTATTTATCTGTTTGTCTGTGTCAGGATGCACCGTGGCTTCCTGTTGAACTCAGTGGAGTGTAATCTTTACTACAATCACTTACTGGCCTCGACCTGGCCAGTGGGAACCCCCTGAGCTGGTTCCCATATTCGTCCAACATGTTTCCAAGCTGGAATCCTCTGTCACCCAAGGAGCCCTGGTTCCTGGGTAGAGCAGGGAATTCCGGAACCAGACTCTGGGCACTGAGCACTCGCTGCTGCCGTGGGTGGACGCTTCTAGGCCTTTCAGGGGACGGTGCCAGCAAACAGATGTCATTTATGCTGAGGACTCCAACCCCACCCCATCCCCGGGATCCCCGTCTTCCTGGCCTCCCTCTCCCAGTGGTGAGCAGCCTGGCACCAGCACCCTTGCCTGCAGGGGTCAGGCATGCTGTCTGACAATGGCAGTAGCTTTGGTGGACCTTGTCTGGGTGCAGGGACTGGCCACCCAGGGAGTGACCTCAGACCTCACCGAGGTCACGGGATGCTCAGGACTAGAAGGAGCAAGACTGCCTGACCACTGGGCAGTCAGGTGTGGACACGGAGGCTTGGAGAGCTGCCCACCCATGCTCCCATGCTTGGCTTCGGGTCTGTCTGCCATGAAATCTCATAGCTTGATTTTAAATTCTGCTTATTTGCATAATTTCTATGCCCTTCACTCTAAACAAGTGGGAAGACAGTGAATTACACAAGGGCTGCTAACAAGAGCACCCCAGGCCCCGACTGCCAGACAGCACCTGCAAGGATAGTGGGGGCTATGTGTGTGCTTGCCCCGCCTGCGGCACGGCCCAGCTGGGCTAGAAGCTAACCCTGCAGTGGCAGGACTGCGGAGGCCGGAGAGGGGACAGCAGCCACCTACCCACAGGCACAGAGGCAGCTCAGCGTTACACCGGCCAGCTCAGCACTGCTGGTGCCCAGTGGCCGAGCACAGCGGGACCTCAGGCTCCCGTGCCTGCCCCGCCACGTCTTCTCCCTCAGTAGCCCTTCATCTTTCTGCCACACAGAGGTGAACTCAGCCTCCTCCTCGGTTTGCTCGAGCCTGAGAAAGCCACGAATCGCATCTTCTTCAGTGTGTTCCTATCTGCAGCCCCCTGGCATCAGGCCCCCGGCTCGCCCATGCCCCGGGTACCTGCTCCCAAAGCTCAGCGCTGCGAGGGTACATGCACTGTCTCCATCTTCTCACTGCTCCTGCCAGAGAACGCCCAGTGCCTCCCAGACGTCATTTTACTGGCCCTAAAAAGGTTTGCTGATTGATAAGTCACCACAGGTCATCACTGGTAATCACAAGTCATGGAGATCACTGCAGATCACTGAAGGTAACAAAAGGTAACCACGGTCACTGCAAATCACCAAGGGTCACTGCAGGTCACTGACAGACTCAGGAGCACATCAGGCGAGGCCAGGCAGTCCGTCCGTTGCAACCTTTCTGTCACGGCCTCAGGGAAGAAGGGGCCTGTGTCATCTACATGGAGGTGCAGATCAGCACCCAGAGTCCTTTCCGTGGCTGGAACCTTGGCTCAAATGCAGTCACAGACCTAGGTGGGCAGTCGGTGCTGAGGGCCTGACCAGGACCAGGATGGGCGAGCCATGCCTGGAGCAGTCCAGAGCACCGCAGCAGCTATGGACTCTGCAGTGAGTGCCACGTGGCCCTGCTCCCCACGTGGCGTGAGGCAGGGCAGGGCCGCTGCCTGCAGATGCCCTTTCAGCAAGGGGCTCGTTTTCCAGGGAGCACGACAGCCCTCCTCGCTGTGCGAGTTTCCAATGTAAGTCGTGTTCAACTCAAGAGGAAGACCGAGGGTGGGGCTGCACCCATCAGCAGCAAAGGACCGGGAGTGAGAGCCAGCTCAGGACGGGAGCACGCAGGGGATGAGAGGGGCGGAGGCAGGGCTGCCTTCTGGGAGCAGACGTTGCTGCGGCTCCCACCAGAGCTCCCGCGCAGGCCCGGGGTGCAGCAGAGCGCCAGCAGGGATGGTGTGTTAGTCCCCTTCTGTTGCTCATGACAAAATACCTAGAACTGGGTACTTTGTAAGGAAATGAAATTTACTGCGTGCAGTTTCAGAGGCTGGGAAGTCCACACTCCAGGGAACACATCTGCTGAGTCTTCTTTGGTGGTGGCTTTACAGCAATGCAGGGGGTTCACATGGCAGAAAATGGCAGAGCAGAGAGAGAGAGACTGACCTCCTCATGCACTCTCCTTTTAAAGCCCTCAGAACCACGCCCCGACCACCCTTATTAACTCATTCACTATGCACAGTCCTACAATCTGATCACCTCGTCAAGGCCCCACCGTTCAATGACCATAATAGGATTCCCACCCTCAAGAGTCACAGGTGGAGACTAAGCTTCAATGAGGTGGGGGGTGCTCGATCTAGCAGGTGCTTCCATAGCAGGAGCAGGGACAGGCCAGCGGCAGGAGGAGCCAGTGGCCTCCCTGCACAGGGCACCCACCTCTGTCCTGAGGGCTGTGGTGCCCATGGTGTGCGGCTGCTTCTTGCTTGAAGGCTCCCCTCCTTCCGGCCGGGCTGTCCCAAGATACGTCCCAAGCTCAGCCACCTGCTTCCACAGCTCCAAAACTTCCAGATGCACCTGGTCCACCTCATGGGGAAGCTCACACTGGATGGAGCCCAGCTCCAGGGGTTTCTGCAGCACCTGCAAGGCCGTTTCAGAAGCAGCATTAGCGACCGGGCGGCAGGAAGGGCCAGAAGCACAAGAAAAGTCAGGATGCGGGAGTGCGGGAAGGCGAGGAGGCCCAGCGTCTCAATCTCCCTTCTGGCCAGACTGATCACCTGCACACGTGCGCCCCACCATCGCCACCGCTGCCCTCTGGCCATGCTGGCTGGCAACAGGCAGCTCCCCCTGTGCCCTGCACAGTGGGGATGTGGAAAGCTACCGCCAAGAGCCCACGCTCTGGACCCAAGGCTAGCTGGGCAGAGTCCGTGCGTGGAAGTGTTTGCACGGAGGCACAGGGCCTCACCCCCTCTTCCTAAGCCCTGGTCCCAGGTAGGATCTGTCAAAGGACAAATTTACGTCAAACTTAGTTTAAAGATTGCAACTGGCTTTCATGCAATTCTAGAATCGGGAAACGTGCCATTCCATAAAATACGATGTTCGATGAGCCGAGCAGAAGAGGTTGGCTTTACAGACAGAAGAGCCGAGGAAGGTGGAAACAAGAACAGAGAACACATCAGTTACTTTTCAGAGTTACTTTTTTCTTATAAGACGGGGACAGGAAGACAGAACAATAGGAAAATAACTGATTATTTAACATCAGGTTACTTGAGGACATCTTTTTGTGTAAGGATTAAGGCAGAGGGAACTTCGCAATCATGCTGATTGAGGATTTCAACTGGCCTGTTTGGAAACTGGCTGCTGTCTCACTCTCCTGATTTCTTGGAAGGTCAGACATCAACTTAGTTTGGGTTTGGTGATATGGAGCTTAGCAGGGGTGACTCCATTTTTTATTTTTAGTTTGGTCTTTTGGGGCCTAGTGTGGGAGCTTAGTCCAAAACAGTGGCCTCCGATAATTTTTATGTAACAAAACAAACGTCTCTAGAAAATTGCAAGTAAGCAGTGGGAGGTGTGGATTTTTCTCTTCCATTAATCAAAGGAGCAGCAATGGGGAGGTGGGTGGGAGGGCCGGAGAGGCTGTGGGCTGAGGCCGTCCAAAGGCAGGGGTGAGCTGGGAGCAGATGGGAGGCAGAGGAGGACAGAATGCTCGGAAAGGCAGGTCACAGGCCACAGGAACAACTTCGGTGGCTGCAGGTTGGCCATGAGATTCCTACCCTGGGGTCTCGTGTGGCCCCCAGAGCTGCCGAGCCAGCCTCTTCCTTCAACTGCTTCTCTCAGTGTTTGCTGATGCAAGGAGAGACAGGAACAGGCAGAAAGGAGAGACACGTGCCCTCTCCACACCCTGTAACGTCCCCATTCGACTCTCAGGAAGATAAAGTATTACTTTTCCTACTCCAAGAACTCCTACAGTGAGTTCCTTATGAATAATTTATTTTTAATTTGTCACATACACAAATGTAAACAATGTTAAATAAAAAAAAACAACACTTGGAGAACTTTTCTCCAGGATAATCAAATCATCTTTGATTACCAAGGTAAAATGAAAAGCTTTTATTTAAACGTCTGTTTCTTGTTTGCAGCGTGTAGGTGCCCCTGTGCATGCGTGTGCATATGTACACGTGTGTGCATGCACATGTGTGTGTGTGATTCCAAAAGCAAGCTGGAACTGGGAAATGGCAACGCTGAAGCCTCGTAGGTCTGGAGTCCTCCCTTCCCCTCATGTGTAGGTGCACGGTTAATCCCATAAATAGGAATGGGAAAGACGCACTTCCAGTCACAATAAGGCCTCAGACAACACAAAAACAGGTAAGTATGTGAAGTAAGCATATGTCAATTAGCCTGATTTAGTCGTTCCACAATGTAGACATTCTTCATAACACCACCTCACAACATAATTACATACAAATTTTATTTGGCATTAAGTAAGCAAACAAATAAAACAGAAGTCTCCTGGAGGGCCAGAATAAATAAACAAACTAGGCGTCCGATTTCTAGAGCACTGCCTGCTCCCTGTGGTAGATGGAAAGCTCAGAACAATTCCTGTGTTTCCAGAGGGATGTTCTGCTGTAGAGAGGGGTCACAGTCCACAGGGAAAGTGTGATTATGTGTTTATGGACTTAAAAGGACATGAAAATTCCTCTTTATGTTGCCTCATAAGAAACACGCGTACAGAAAGCAACAGGACAGTATGACCCAAAAGCACAAGCAACAAGAAAAAAATAGATAAGCTGGACTTGGCCAAAACGAAGGATGTTTGTGCTTCAAAAGACGCCATCGAGAAAGTAAAAAGACGAACCACAGAATGGGAGAGAAGTTTAGCAAATCATGCATCTGATAAGGGACTCGTATCTGGACTATAAAAAGAGCTCTTACAATTCAACAATAAAAAGACAAATAACCCAATTAAAAATGGGAAAGGACTTACATAAACATTTCTCAGAGAAGATATACAAATGGCCAAGAAGCCCATGGAAAGATGCTTGACATCATCTGCCAGCAGGAAAATACAAATCAAAACCACAGTGAGATCACACTTTGCACTTGCTGAGATGACTAGAATCAAAAAGACACAACACAGCTAGTGTCAGTGAGGTCCGCCGCCGGCAGACCCGAACGGCCCTAGCCTCGTTCCTTTTGGTGGGCGAGCGAATGGCCCGGATTCCTCTTTCCCTTCAGTCCCCTTTGGAAGGAGACGGGGGAAGAGAGCCGTGAAGAGAGGTGAGCACAGCCACCGGCCCCAACCAGCCTGTTAAAGGACACTCAAACGCAGTTTATTATCACACAAGCACTTGCTTTTAAAGGCAGATGGGGAGGGGAGATTCTTTGCATCCTCCAATCAGCTTAAAGGTTACGAGAGCATGCATCCTGTCTCAATGCCTAGCTATTGCAACCACGCAGTGTTCACGAGCGCGGAAGCGCGTATTTGGCCAATAAGGGCTAAGGCAAGCTTCCCACAGACACCCCCACCCTACTTCCTCCCCGTGGCCAATAAGGGCTAAGGCAAGGTTCCCGCAGACACTCCCACCCTACTTCCTCCCCGCGCTGTCTTAGGCTGCCACGTTAATACGCCCTTGTGGGCCCATAATGGCGCTGCTTGTAATGTCACTTAAGGCGGCGTTAGTTTTTAAGGCCCGACAAGGAGGTAGAGAAACCAGAACTTTCGTGCACAGCTGGTGGGGTGTAAAATGGTGCCGCCGCTTTGGAGAACAGTTTGGTGGTCCCTCAAAGAATTAAATGTAGAATCAGCATCTGACCAGCAATTCTACTGCTAGGCACACACCCAGAAGAACTGAGAGCACACGTCCACGCAGAAACTTGTACAGGAATGATCACAGCAGCATTATTCACAATAGTCCCAAAGTGGGAACAACCCAAATGCCTGTTGGGGCACGAACGGACACAGAAAGTGTGGCCTGTCCATACAACGGAATGTCATTTGGCCAGAAAAGGAACGAGGTTCTGACACGTGCTACGGCGCGGATGGGTCTTGAGAACATGATGCTGAGTGAAAGCAGCCAGTCACCAAAGGCCACATACTGTGATTCCATCTACATGAGGACACTAGAATAGGCAAATTCACAGAGACAGGGTGGGACGGCGGCCACCAGTGGCTGGGATGGGGGAAATGGAGAGTCACTGCTTTATGGGTACAGAGTCCTATCTGGAGTGGATAAAAAATTCTGAAAATACATAAAGGTAATGTTTACACAGGAATGTAAATGTATTAATGCCAATAAACGCCACAATTAAAAATGGTTAAAATGGTAAACATTCTTATGTATATTTTACCAAAATTTTTTTTAAAGTAAAAAAAAGATACAAATTTGTAGAATCAAACCTGGGTATGACCCTAGCCACATGCATAATAGGACAGGATTTTGCTAGAATTCGTGCAGCTGTCACGTCCCCCTAGTACGATTACAACTTGACCCCCAGAGAGGCACAAGCTGAGGAGACTGTGGAGGCCAGCGCTCACTAGGGCACGAGTCACAGTGCAGCTGACGGACACGCGGGTCACAGAACTGAGTGCTGGCTGCTCCGGGCGCCGGGGTGCTGGCAAGACTGGGACTTGCAGGGCATGTCCCGAGTGGGCAGGTGGCGTCACAGAAGCCCTGAGGCCCCGCCTGGGCTCCGTGGGCTCTGCCCGCTGACGCTGCCCTGTCTTGGCCTTTTCTCTCGTTTACCAGATTCTTACTGTGCACCTGCCATGGCCACACGCAAGATAAGCCAGTTATTCCTCACAATATCACCTTCCTCAGGAGGAAACGGGCACCGAGAGGTCCCTCAAGGTCACGGCCAGCAGGCCTGAGAGCCCACGTGCATGCCCACCGCAGGCGCGGCTCTCTGGCAGGAAGACCTGCACAACCCCACGTGCCAGCGGCGGCCTCACCTTCTGTCGGAGCCGTGTCACCAGCAAGTTCAAGAGATGCACTCTGTCTCTGAGCTTCCTGAGTGCCAGTCCAACGCACACCTGACCAGCCTGGACGGATCCTCCTGTAGAGAAGAGTGACTTCTGTCAGGCTCGAATGCTGACAACTAAGGAGGGCTCTGGGGACATGAACATCGCCTTCATCTCCGCCCTCCCCCACGGAGGCCTGCGGCACCTGCTGGCCGACTTCAACATGAAGACAGTGTTCACTGCAGTCACCGGGTCTGGGTCAGTATGAAGATGAGAAATGTGCTGGACATAAAGTGTAATCCTTATGTAAAGAAATCAGGAATCTTTGCAGGAAAAAACCCAACCTTACCATGTAGCGTCTGATAGAGATCACACACTCTTGTCTCTCTGTTTAAATACGGGGCCATTGGTTTGGAAATTATGAAAAAAGATGCCCATATAACATATGGGTCAAAGAAGAAATCACAATGGGCATTACAGAGTATTTTTAAGTGAATGATTATAACGGCACTGCTTATCCAAACCTAAGGAGCGCATCTAAGGCCACTCTTTCAAGAATGGCTTCGGGGCTGGCAGGTTGGCGCAGCCGCTCAGAGCGAGGAGTCAGAACACCAAGGCCAATGATTGGGACCCCCATACTGGCCAGTGCTAAGAAAAACCCAAACAAACAAACAAACAAAAAATTAATGAGCTGAACATTCATCTCAAGAAGTCAGAACAAGAATGACCAAATTAAAACCAAGTAAAGTAGAAGGAAGGAAGAACTAAAGTTACTATCAGGTATTAATGGAAAAAAATGTATCACAGAGGAGCCACAAGACGATCGCTTGATTGTCTGAAAAGGTTTAAAAAGAAAGAAAGAAAAGATAAATCCCTGGTGAGACTAAGCAAGAAAAAATAAAAGAGCACAGAAGCAGTTGACCAGTGTGACGCGTGCGGAGGAAGCGTCCTAACCTTAGAGCCCACAGACATTTAAAACTCACAGGAGGATACTATGAGCAAGTCGAGGCCAAAAATTTGAAAATTTATTTTATTTTTATTTTTATTTTTTTTCCTTTTTGTCTTTTTTCGTGACCAGTAACGGGATTGCAACCCTCAGTGTCGCGCCCGCACCGCGCTCAACCAGTGAGCGGACCGGTCTCTATATGGGATCCGAACCCTCGGCAGGAGCGCCGCCGCGCTCCCAAGCGCCGCACTCTACCAAGTGCGCCACCGGGCTGGCCCCAAAATTTGAAAATTTAGATGTAATGGACAATTTCTTAGTAAAATGTAACATGAAGAAAATGATGCACAAAAAAAGAAAATCTGGATAGTCCTATAACTATGAAAAAACTGAATTCACAATTTAAAACCTTCCCACAGGGGAAACACCAGGCCCTTGTGGTTTCAAAGTTGAATCCCACCAACTGTTTAATGGAAAATTAACATAAATCTGATACATCTTCAGAAAACAGAAAAACAGGGAACACCTTCCAACATATTTCTGAGGCCAGAATAATCTTGATTCTAAAACCGAACATAAACATTATGAGAAAGGACAATTACAGGCCAGTCTCACTCAAGAACACAAATGTAGTAATTCTCAGTAAAATATTAGCAAAACAAATCCAGCAACACATAAAGAGAAGACTGTACACGGCATGTTGAGCTCACTCCAGGACCGCAGGGCTGGCTGGACGAGAGGGAGCGTGTGATCCCCCTGTTCTCCCTCACCGCAACTAGACGCCCCGGCCCGAACACAGAAGCCACTGAGGAAGACTCCGAGAGGGACGAAAGCAAGGCCAAGCGGCGAGGGGCCTAGGGACACACGGGAGGGGCCTACAGTGCACTCCTTGTCTTTGACGCTGGAGCAGCACAACACGGAGCTCCGACCGAAAACAGGGTCCAAGAGGAGCCTGCTCTCTGGAGCCAAAGCTCCAGAAAAAGGGAGACCCACAGGTGCAGCCCTTCTGTGGACACCTGCCACCCTCCAGACAAACACCTGCCCACTGCCCTGCACCGTCCTGCCTGCCTCCTGCTCTGCACAGAGCGCAGCACCCCTTCCAGGAGGAACGAGCGGGCAGGAGCCTTGTGTGAGAAGCGAACTCTGGAGCGAAGGCTACCCAGGATTTGGCTTCTTGGCAGCTCAGGCGGGCAAAGCAGAGGAGCACTGCAGAGGCTCAGAAAGCGAATGATGCCCCCACCCCAGCCCGAGAGAGCAGCCAGGATATGCATGACAAACCTAGGAAAGGTAACAGTCTGAGAAAATAGAAGGGAGAATTAAAACAAACTTAATCAGAACTAGGGTTTCAAGACACGACATTCAAATTGTCCATGATACAATGAAAAATGACTCGCCATGCTAACAAGCAGGGAAATCTCAACTAGAATGACAAATGGCAACACCAAGGTGACACACACGTTGGGACTATGTGACAAAGACCTTAAGGCAGCCATCGTAAAAGTAACCCAACAAGCAATACGATACACCCTCAAGCCATGGCAAAATGCAAGTTTTTTTTTTTTCCTTTTTGTATTTTTTTCGTGACCGGCAGCGGATCGCAACCCTCAGTGTCGCGCCTGTACCGGACCGGGACCGGCAACGGGATCGCA